TATACAAATGAGTACTTTCAGAGTACAGGATTTGAAAAAAATACGGTTTGTGAAAAAAGTATAAAACTCAGTAAATGAATATAGTCGGTCACATTTTGGTAGATTTCAAAGTTCTTGCAAAAGATGGTTTTATCTATGAAAATATTAAGTTTAAAATCAATCTTGCTGTTATCATATGTGATGCACCAGCTAGAGCATTTGTAAAGTGAATTAAGGGACACAATGGTCATAACTGATGTGAGCATTGTGTTTAGAAAGGAGAGTGTTGTGGCAAGATAATACTCCCACATATTTCACTACTTTTAAGCGCTGATTTTTTGTCATCAAAAACATTCTAAACATCTTAGTGGAGTGTTAAATTGAATTAAATTTTGACATAGTGAAAAAGTTTTCTTTAGACTTTATGCATCTAGTATACTTAGGGATATGCAAAGACTCATTAACTTATGGTTAAATTGCCCAAATGTTGTAAATTGTCTCAGATTACATTCAATACTTTATCTGGCGGATTGTTTCAGATACGTCATTACATTCCAAGAAGTTTTTCTAGAAAATCTTGGTCTTAACTAGATATTAAAAAATGGAAAACAACTGAACTTAGACTATTTCTAGTATACACTGGGCTTGTTGTTTAAAGTGAATGGTTTAGCCAAAAATCTATTCAAACTTTTTAGATTTTTCAGTTGATGAGTTCAGAAAATTACATATTTTATCTGAAGAGTGTTGGCAGAAATCGTAAGACTTATATAACATTAAAAATAATGTATGTGTTACCTATAACATTTAAAACTAACAGTTAAATTTAATTTTTTTACAGCTTATATTGAAACGAGATATTGTGTGAAGAGGTTTTCAAAGAAGTCGTTTTAACAACAACGGAAAAGCTTCCGATTCCCGAGATAATCGTGAAAGCATTCGATACATGATTAAAGAATCGTTTAAAAGTTTGCTTAATTTCGACAGTGTAATTTTAATTACTATTTTTCTAAAATAAACTAATCAAGTTATATATAAATTTGCTTTTTCTGTAAATTTTAAACATTTAAACGTATTTTTGCAAGATTTGCAATGGGTAAACCTCGTAGGACCCTTACGGGATACCCGGCGGGCATACCCAGATGGGCCCAAGAGGAAAACCGCGGCCATGATCCGGCGGGCTCCCGATGGGTTTCCCATATGGGTCCCATTTGCAAACCCAAATGGGTCCCTTACGGTTTTAAAGTATGGGATTTGACTGGGATCCATACGAGATATCCGGCGGGCTCACCCATATGGGCCCCATATGGAAACCGCTGCCATGATCCGGCAGGATACCGTTGGTCCCATACAGGACCCAGTTGACGACCATTATGGGTCCTGTTCGGTACCCGTATGTCAATGTTGGCTGGGGTGAACCTTCAAAGCAAAGTAATGCTCCATACTGCTAAGATTTGCAAGCAATTATTTGAACAAAACAATATTAAAATCATATCTTGGCCTGCCAATAGTCCGGATCTCAATTACATAGAGAATTTGTGGTCTGGGTTAAACCACAATTTTGGTAAAATTGAAATAAATGATCTGGACAAACTGAAAGAATAAGTAACAAAATTACTGAATAGTGTTCTAACAACAAAATACTAATTCTTTTTTTTTTTTATGCTTTATAAGTATTTTTTTATTAAGGTTTGTTAATTTTGTTTTTGTGATTTGTTTATTTTGAATAATTTTTTTTTTGAGAGAAATGAGCACTTGTTTTAATTTCAATATTTTATTTTTTATTTTTTTTAGTTTTTATTATTTTATGATAAATTTATATTGTGATTATTTGATTTATTTTAATAAAAAAAAAAAATCCAAAAAAATTTATTTTAGTTAATAAAATATTTAATTTCAAACTTATATTCATACTAAAATAACTTGATGGATTGTTGTTAGTGGCCAATACTGTATATAAAAATCCATAACAATAAATTTTATACATCTGTTATAAATTAAAGAAAAAAAATCTTTTAATATAAATATTACTATAATTCTCATAAATCAAGTTTATACTTCAAGTTAATAGTACCTTAAAATGTCATCCATAGGAAGAATAAAAATTTTTTAATTCATTTTTAAAAACAGAAAAACGGATAAAAGGATGAAAATTAGGCAGAATTATTTTATTCCAAATGTAAGGTGCTCGATAATTAATACAAAATTTATTAAAATTTCTTCTACAAAATGGTTCATTTAGCAAATCTTTATTTCTTAGTGAGTACTTATTAGTAAGTTTTAATGTAAAAAGGTCGTTAAAAACAGGTAAGGATAAATTGTTTTTCCATATATAAGTAAAACATAAAACATTAAAAACATTAAGTTTGTAGACATTAAGTATTTTCATTTCATCAAAGAAAGGCTTTGAATGTGTAGAGCGATCCACATAATTAATCACGCGAATCGCATGTTTCTGTTGGCGATATAGACGTTGTAGTTTACTTTTTTCGGTACTAACCCACGCAATATCTGCGTAGTTCATATAGCTGTGTATGAATGAGTAATAGAGCTGCATATGGCTTTTTTTGCTTAAGTAAGGTCGGGCTTTAAACAAAATGCCAATATTTTTAGATAACTACTTTTGGATTAAAGTTTAATGTTTGGTTTTATTTGTATATTTGCGGTAGCCAATATTGCAGAAACAACATTCTACATAAAGTGTTCGTAAGTAAGCTAGGTTTCAACCAATGCTGGTTTAAACCCAAAGATTGGTTTTAAGCAGTTTTAGTTGGTCGGCAAGATATAAATGGTGTGTGTAAGGAAGGTTAGCTGTAACTGATAAGCAAGGCGTCTATGGTGAAGGTGGTGTGTATGGCTGAAATTGTTCTGTTGTTTAAAAGCTATTTAACCAATTTCATACAATTTTTCATATCGAAATATTTTTACCATCAAACATTGATGTTGATTAAAGATTTTACAAGGATCCATACTAGGATCTTTACTTTTTTTAAATTTATTTGAATTATCTGCATAGAGCATCAAGTTTAGTTTTTTATTGTGACAACAATTTTTTTTATCTCGCAGTACATTATAACATTTTTAACGATATAAAAATTGAGTTTAACAAAAATTCTTATTAATTTAGTTACTTTGTTCGTTAGTTTTGCTGTAACTGGCTTGTTAAATCAGTGAGGATGTTTTTAGTATACTGTGGCAGCATAATCGATTGATTTTTGTTTGTCCTACAGTCGAATCTTGCATTAAAGGAACTAACTAAGGACAGCTGCTTAAGTTTCGAAGGCATTGAATTTCATAGTTTTGCAGATCTGTTCTAAAAAATATCATGTCTTAATTTATTTTTTGTTGTTTCTCTGTGATATTTAAAACAGTGACCTCTAACTTGTTAGATGTAACTGTTTCAAGCTATTTTAATTGATAAAATTATCAAAAAGATTTTTTATTCAGATAAAAACAAGAATGAGGCTTGTAGTTAAAGTTACTTCAACTTTTTGACTTTTTAATAACAACTTTTATGTTGCTTTCTGTTTTATCTATTTTGCTCATGATTTTATGTATCTAGATCATATCCCCCATTTCTCTCCGTTCAGTCAAAGTTATCAATCCTAGATCTTTTAAACGCTTTTCATAATTTAACCACCATATTGGTTTAACCAATTTGGTGGATTGACACTGCGCTCTTTCAATTACTTTACATATGGGGGCCAAAATAGTACTAAAAAACTCTAGAAAGATAAAAGTTGCATAAAGTGATTTTTGTGTTTGCCAATTCAATATGACAAAGCTTTCTTCACACGACCCAACATTCTACTTGTGTTACTTGTTGCGGAAATAACTTGATCCTTCCACTTGAGATTTTTCAAAAAAATCATTCTTAAATCTATGGTAATTTTTGATTCAGGCAATTTTATACCATTAATATAGAAAGGTTTATTTTTAATGTCTTTAATGTCCATAGCGCATTATTACACATTTTTGGGCATTAAAACTTAAAATCCAGTCTTCTGTCCATTTAAATGCTGCTTTTAAATCTTTCTGTAGACCTAAAGTACTTTTCTCTGAGACTGCTTTGTATAGGATCTTATACTTTGTATTCGTATCATCAGCAAATAGTTTGCATATATTGACTAACTTGTCTGGTAGATTATTAATATATAAAATAAACATCAAGGGTTCGATAACAGAGATTTGTGACCATTAACAAATTCAAACAATTTCACCAAGATCAATTCTTTGTCTTCTTTTTTTTTTAAACTTTCTATCCTTTTTAAAACTAAACTTTAAATACCATACGCATTTAAGCTAAGGATCTCTAGTGCGGAGCAGTGTCAAAAGCTTAAGCAAAGTCTGCCATTACTACACCCACAGGTATAACATTGCTAATGGAAGAAGAAATGAAGTTTAGAATTTCTAATATATTTGTGGTGCAAGATTTTCCTTTTACAAATCTATATTATTGGGTTGTAAATAAATTGTTGTTGTAAAGATATGTTTCAATTTTTTTTTTAATAAAAGGTTCTAATATTTTGCAGGGAATTGATTTTAATGAGACAGGGCGATAGTTGGTGGCAACAGTTTTGTAACCTTTTTTAAAGATTGGTGTTATAGTTTAAATTAAACAAATTATCAAATATTATTGAAAAAGCAAAATAGACACACTAATCCAATTTCAAATCTTATGTCTTACCCATATATTGATAATAAATAGCCTCAAAATTTATGTCATACTTATGTATTGATAATATTGAAATTAAAAGAGCAAAAGTTATAATTTTTTTATGTATTTACAAATTCCAAATATACTTTTTACAAAAGTATATTTGAACAAGGTTATACCCTTAGACAGTATGCCAAGTTAAAAATGGTTATATTTGTGTTTTAATTGTTATATCTGAGATTTCTGAAGAACTTTGTGGTTCTCGATGACAAGACCTAACGGTTTTCTGCAAGTTCATATTTTTTTTTTATAATTTTTTATTTCTTTTATAGTTTTTTTTAATCTTTTACACTCTACAATATCAAACTTTTTCAGCAAAAATTTTATTCAATTAATTTTAGTTATAAAAGTAACATATTTCATAAAGTTTGAATACAATTATAAACGTATTACATAAAATAAATGTGTTGAGAATTAAATAATTGTGTCAACATAAAAATTTATATAAACGCGGATTTAACTTCTATTTATATTATATTTAAAGAGTATTTAAAAAATTTAATATGATCTTCGTGTAAACATAATGATAGCAATTACACAAATTACAAAGCATCCCACAGCGATTGCTATTCTTGCATATTTTCTGGCAGAAATAGAAGCCTGTTGAGCACGCGAATAATCACCCGCTGCAAATGCGCTATCAACCTAAAAAAAGGTTTTATAAAAATGAGTAAAAACAACTAGCCTAACATTTTCTTCAAAAGAATCTTAAACAGATTATTAAAAAAAAAAAACTTGAAAAAATAAATAAAAATTATTTAATACATTAAACTCAAACTTTTAATGTAAAACTTAAAATAGAAAACCTAACTTATTTATTATTGACTTAAGTAAATAATAAATAAGTTATTTATTTTTGAGTCAAAAAAATATAAACTGGATGAAAAACATTATTTTCAAGTGCTGAAACTTCAAAATAACAATAAAAAACCTGAAACAACAATAAAATAACAATAAAAAACCTGAAAAAAACTTATCATTACTTTTTATACCAAAAGAATGTTCGTTTATGCCCAAAGAATGCGCTATTATACCATAAGCGCGTTTGTCAATGTTGCTAAACAATTTTCAAAAAATTTTTAAAGACTGAATCAGGAACTGACCACGTACTGACCACGAAGAACCAAGCCAATTGTATTTAGAAGTTATGGATTTCAATTAAACCATATGTTTAAGTACAGATATAGTAAAATTTAAACTTTGTAATTGAACTAAATGTCCTTGATTTAAAGTATATATTGTTAGGTCTTATTTTTGCCATTCTTGTATATTTGTGGCTTTTTTTAGATTATCATACAATATATGCAACTTGCACATGCAGTGGCGGATTAAGACTTCTTGGGTCCCGGGGCTATTTTTGTTTTTGGAGACCTTTTTATGAGCCAGAGCCTAAAAATAACTAAAAATTCTCTAAAATTTGGGGGGGGGGCCCTAAATTTGCGGGGCCTAGAGCTATAACCCTCCTAGCCCCCTTTGATCCGGCGTTGTGCAGATGGTCTATGCAACTAATTTTGGCCTAAAGTCTTATATATATATTGTTACGTATTTTAACCAATGTTTTGGTATGATTGCTTTACTTGCAGTAAAATTAAATTGTTATACTAAAAATTTCTCAATGCAAAAACGCTGAGAAAATTGAATTCAAAAGTTTTTTAAATAAGTATCCAAAGGTATAATAGTTGGTGACTTGGATGCACCTTTTACATCTTTAGATCATCAGGCGCTTATCAACGTTTTTTGGGAAAAATGAAAACATCTTTTGATGTTCAAAAGCATCTTTTGATGCTTAAAACAAGGTATTTACAATTATCCGGCAATTATACAACACTTTTCGAAACTCTGAAAAGTGTTATAAAAATATTATTTTTTTACCAAGGTGACGGGGTTTTTGTAAATATTTTAATGCTAATAATAAAAAAAGTTTTTAACTAAAATTTTCGTATGAAAAGATTTTCTGCTTTTATTTCGACTCAGACGGCTAAATTAAACATTATTAAAATGTTGTCTGATTACTGTGATTAGTAAATGTATTTTTTTTTTTTTTTAATTTGTTATTTAGGTGCCCCAAGAAGACCTAACAGTCTTGTCACAGACCGCGGAAGTGCATTTAACCAGGAAGTTAACACTTCCTTCCTTACCGTGACGCGAAATATGTCCAAAGCTCGTTTCGAACCTAGATCTCCTGCTTATAAAGCAAGCGCTTTAACCACTGCGCCACGGCCGCACTGCAAATATGTGATTACTGTGATTAGTAAATGTATGTGATTAGCTTTGACTATTAAATGGCAAGGTAACAATTTTTAAAAAGTGTTAGAAATTCATTTATTATTTAGCTTACTTATGAAAATTGAAATCCATAACTAATTTTTGATTTTCTGATTTTTAACCATCTATCTATATATGATAATACTGAACTTATTAGTGGTGCCCACTCCTAGGGTTTGGATATAAACCAACTTTTTAAAAAAAACCCTTTTCGAATTCCAAATTTAAAAAAAAAAACGGTTTTAACACGTTTTTGAATGTTTTTTTTTATAAAAACTGAATAACGGGAAATATTTATTTCACTTATGGTAAATTTTTCCCAAAAAAAAAACATAATATATCTAATGAACGGTAGATAATCTGAATCGGTGTTCACAACAGAATTTTTAATATTGTAGACAATAACTTTTTCTAGAATTTAATTATATCGATTTATGAAGCTAAAGGAATTATGCTAAATGTTTTTGCTGCGCCGAAAATGTTTTCAGGATTTTGCAAATAAAGTAAAAGATTTGCTAATTCATAATTTATTAAACGTATTAAAATATTACATTTATGAATACATAAATATAATATAATCTTACATATAAATACATTTAATAAATACATATAAATGAAAGTTAAATCTAATTTATTTGAGAAGAATGTTTTTTTCGAGAAGCCATTTCGGCAAAATTGTCCCTAAAACTTTTTGTTTACATCCGTGTATTTTTAGACAAGCAACTGTTTCTATTGGGTAATTATTGCGTAACATTTTTCAAAAATGAAATAAAAATCCTTATCTACCGCAGGAAAAAATTAAAGCTGCGTGTTATTGTATAACAACAATATATTAAAAAAAAATTTAAAAATAGAAAACCGGTTTTCAAATGTGTCAAATATTTGAAAATCCGGTTTTTATACCGGTTTAGAAAAACCACCAAAACCTATTGACACGGAGCTTCTTTTTTTTTTTTTCTTAAATGGAAGCACCATTAAAATGGAAAAAAAAAAAAAAAGAACAGATTTAGCACTTTTTTTTAAAAAAAGAAACTGATGTACAGATATGTAAACTTGCAACATTAATTATAACTAATAATTATAATTAATGCAAAAGTTCCATTTATACAACGTTATGTACAACACCTTTAAGTGTAAACGTCAGTAGTGCTACAGCCGTTTACGCCTATAGCAAACGCGACACTTTACCATTTGAAAAAAAATATCACTTGATATATTGCTTGAAATATTGTATGAAATATTGAACGTTTTTTCTGCTATAAATGACTCGTATTCTCTTTCATAAACTCAAAATAATAACTTTTTAAGTAGAATCGATAATGAACTTAATTAAATAACAAAGAAACTTAAAGCTATAACGATAATTGCTGGGAGCAAAAGAAGAAGAAAAAAAAAAAGAAGCAATGGTTCTTAGAAATCAAATAGGTGTCTTCAATAAGCTCATTGACTACAATTCTCATAAGAAGTGCTCTATTTATAAATTATTTATAAACTATTTGTAAATTCTATGTCTTCTTCATCCATTCTCAATAACCCTAAAAAAACTAAATATTTCATTGGGCTATACAGGCTTTGGGACATCCTAGTCGTCCAGCGAAATAACGCTGGAAGGCCAAGATGACCAAAAGCCTGACCCCAAGTCTCCCCCTTTTCCTCTCATTCTTCCCACAAAATAAAAATCTGTACTTCAACACAATTTATTTTATATGGCTGAATAAATTTTATTGCATAGATCAAAAATTAGAAATTAATAGTGGTAGATTATAATATTAAGTTAATTCAAAAAAAAAAAACAAGGAACAAAACAAAACAAAAATAAAACAAACAAAATAAAACAAAACAAAACAAAACAACAAGGAAGTATGATTTTGTATTTTACATATATTTAAAACAATTCAGTAAAACGAAACAGTTATTTCTTAAGATAACATTTTCATCCAGTTTGTACATTATCATATAACTAAGTAAATAATTTATTTTGATATTTTGTTGCTGCTTTTTAAATAAACAAAATGATCGATCACACCTTCTACAGTGATTTCTTTTAAAAGAACGTGTTTTAATTTTAAAAACGGCTAGAGCATACAGGCGTTTCTGTTCACTATTACAACTGTAGCGTTTCATTTATTATTTTTCATTATTTCATTATTTATTAAAGTTTCATTTCATTATTTATTAAAGTTGAAAGGGGCCTTTCTCCCACTTTCTTCGATATAATTTATATTCGTAGCAGAGAGAAACTCAATTAAAGTTTTTTTGATCGCATATCCAGAAGAAGAAAATCGAATAATATAGTTTTCTAGTTTCACCGGTACCAATATCGATTGAAGTGAAAACAAAGCTTTTAAAATGCAAACGTTCATTTGGAAAATTAATTTCTGCATTTTTGTTGATTTATAAAAGTTCTTGGGCGAAGACGGACGAGCAATCCAATAATATATCATTTTGAGGAGATTAAGTTTATTAGTTGCCCACTGACCTATTATTGGAATGAATGGTAAAAAATGTTCAATTAGTTTTCCAAATGAGTTAAAATATGTGCAAGATGCCTGTGTTTTTGAATCAACGATAATTGAATAAATTCTGACGGCTTTAAGTTCAATAACTGCAGAAAGAAAATTGCCATTAAAAAAATACTTTAAAACTATCAAGTGCTCTTTTTAAAGCAATTTTAAACGAATTTAATTAAAAATGTAGAATTGATATATAGCTACCAATTACTTGTTAATGTGGATCATCAAATAGCTTGCTGAACTCTTTGCAAATGTTAGCTGATAGGGAGAAAAATGTTAGCTGATAGGGAGAAAAATGTTAGCTGATAGGGAGAAAAATGTTAGCTGATAGGGAGAAAAATGTTAGCTGATAGGGAGAAAAATGTTAGCTCAGGGAGAAAATCTTTTTACTTATATTACACTTAAATACTTTTATTTTGTTTATGTTTTTAGCTAGAAACAGATCGTATTCATCTAGTAACTCTAAAGAGCCAAGGAAGTTTTCATTATGACATAATTCAATATTCTGGTCAGATCCATGAAATGTATATGGTCCCGATGACAATGTTATCTTGACATTACAAGGGTAATTAGTTAACAAAACAACTATCTTTTAATCATTCATTACTCAATGAACTCATGCTTATTAATTTATGATTTATACTGAAAAGACTCTAGAATTTATATGTGTTGGTTCAAACTCAAACAACTAGTTGTTAGAGCATAAATCAACAGGAGTGTTTGTATAATTAATATGAGTGTTTATGTACAAGTTTCTAATTATAAATAAATATATTTGCATGTGTGTGCAGATATGTGTATATGATATGAATATATATGTGTACAGATTCGGATATGGATACGTATGGATATATATATATATATATA